TTTATAAATTACAAAAACTTTATATACTGGCTATATGCGGGAGGGAAGGACCCTCTTATATGTATAACCAAAAAAAAAAGAGAAGAATGAATTGTATTGTGCATCAATAAAGCTAAAGCCGTCTTTTAGCCAATGAAAAGTTGAAAAGTATTGGCCAATTTGATAGTCCGTAAGTCATCGTAGAAGTATTGCACACGCAGTTCCAAACACTCACGTTACGTCAAACAATCACTCACGTTACGCCATGTTAAAAGCACTAAAGAATCCAGTTCACATGCTTCTTCATAGTGCTTGAAAATAATTCCACATTTTAAAATTTCTTAATACGCTTCTCAACTTTTCGTCAACTTTCAAATACAAGTGCAAAGAAAAAGAAGTTAAAGAAAATTCGGCCGCATTCTAGAACCACATAAGATGGGTTAGGCGTTTAGCAAAATTTGGAATCATCATTTTGCCCACCACCTCCACAATCTATTCAAGCTTTCAACGCCACTGTACCAATTCAAAGCTTTGAAAATTCGGTCAATGCCAAGGACCGCGACGTTTGGTGCCGTTGGGAGTGGGTATATATATATATATGTATAAAATTTAAAAACCAAAAAAGAAAAAAGGAAGAGCCCTCCCACGGTCCTACTCTATTCAGAAGGATAAGCACAAAATTTATGTGAGAAATGCAGCTTGTATAGTCTAATTTATTGTCAGGCGCTCGGAAGGAAAAGATAGGCGTTTCAAAGAATTTATAAATCACAAAAACTTTATATACTGGCTATATGCGGGAGGGAAGGACCTTCTTATATGTATAACCAAAAAAAAGAAGAAGAATGAATTGTATTGAGCATCAATAAAGCTAAAGCCGTCTTTTCAACAATCAAAAGTTGAAAAGTACTGGCCAATTTGATAGTCCGTAAGTCGTCGTAGAAGTATTGCACACGCAGCTCCAAACACTCACGTTATGTCAAACAATCACTCACGTTACGCCATGTTAAAAGCACTAAAGAATCCAGTTCACATGCTTCTTCGTAGTGCATGAAAATAATTCCACATTTTAAAATTTCTCAATACGCTTCTCAACTTTTAGTCAACTTTCAGATACAAGTGCAAAGAAAAAGAAGTTAAAGAAAATTCGGCCGCATTCTAGAACCACATAAGATGGGTTAGGCGTTTAGCAAAATTTGGAATCATCATTTTGCCCACTACCTCCACAATCTATTCAAGCTTTCAACACCACTGTACCAATTCAAAGCTTTGAAAATTCGGTCAATGCCAAGGACCGTGACGTTTGGTGCCGGTGGGAGTGGGTATATATATATAGATATATATATGTATAAAATTTAAAAACCAAAAAAGAAAAAAGGAAGAGCCCTCCCACGGTCCTACTCTATTCAGAAGGATAAGCACAAAATTTATGTGAGAAATGCAGCTTGTATAGTCTAATTTATTGTCAGGCGCTCGGAAGGAATAGATAGGCGTTTCAAAAAATTTATAAATTACAAAAGCTTTATATACTGGCTATATGTGGGAGGGAAGGACCCTCTTATATGTATAACCAAAACAAAAAAAGAAGAATGAATTGTATTGAGCATCAATAAAGCTAAAGCTGTCTTTTCAGCAATGAAAAGTTGAAAAGTATTGGCCAATTTGATAGTCCATAAGTCGTCGTAGAAGTATCCCACACGCAGTTCCAAACACTCATGTTACGTCAAACAAACATGTGATCAGTCAAACATCCCAAAACTTTTCTTTCAAACAAACCCGTATGACTAATTTTAGTGTATTAAGTATGTTGAAGTATTTTATTAGTAATTTTTTATATCCTAAATCAAATAAGTTTTAGTGAGTTTAGCATCCCAAGATATTTTTCTAGTCGCGTATCATAAATTTCCAGATATCTCTTATATTTATATTTAGTACCACAGCTAATACAGGTCAAAACAACACCTTGAATCCTTCTCCACTCCTCCACGTTCAACCTCTCCCCACAAATTCCTTCAGTGGAGTCGAGTTGCAAGAGCAAAATCGAGAAAAGTAGTCTTCCTCATTAATCGGTGGGAGCTGGGTTGCACTTATTTGTGTCAATTTAATTGACTAATCTCAATATTTATTGTTCTTCGTTAACCACAGAAAGTCAAAAAAGACTTGGATGACTTTGTACTGTCGCCACAGTTGCCCTGTAATTTCATAAGCTTCCAAGGCAAAGTTACACCTTGTCGACATTCTCTATGTTTTGAATCAAAGCATATCGAATTTTCTTTTCTGATAACAAAAATATCTTCCACCTTGTCATGTTCTGAAAAAAAATTTATACATAAAAAGACATCATGTTATTTGCATCTACTTGGGGAAAAAAAAATCAGAGGCAGGATATAAATTTCTTGGGATTCAGGTTGGGGGTGTGACAACCGTTTTTCCAAAAACTCATTTAGATTAAATGAAATAATTTATTTAAAAGATTAACCATAACAACAAAGAAAAAATCTTAAAAATTATAAAATCACTATCATGGTTAAAAGAAATATACTTATGTCACAAGCAACATCAATCATTAATTTGTGCCTTGGACTTCCAAAGTTCAGAAATACCATTCAACTCTTGGTCCAAACTAAACCCATACTTTCAAATATATGAACTGATAAATCATTTTAAAATAAGTCATGAAGTTCAATCATCAAAAGTCAAGACTTTCAAAATAGTGTTACATGCAAAGTCTTGTAGGCCTCTAGCCTCCTAACGGTCCTCTCATCAAATAGCAGTAATCAAAAGTCTCAGTTTACACATCAAAGTAGATAAGCCCTACGTGGCAATATATAATAAATCAACACATAAAACAAAAAGAAGGGAGGCTATACAAGCTATAACAGCACACTAAGCCTCCGGGGCCTTCCATGATGGACCACTACCTAAACTATCACTTGAAAATAGTAGAAACCATGGGGTTGATACAAAAGCCTCAATAACTAACTTTCCAACACATCATACACACTAACATGTACTCATGAGATATCAAGTGAGATAATGATTAATTCTCAAGAAATATAGATATATCAATAGAAATATAAAACATGTATATTCAGATCATCTCAATCATCTAAACCCTCATTATGGGAGCTAACACACAAGTTACATAAGTCTATCCTTCACTATAGGGGATTAATCAGACATATAGGCCTATCCCTCATTTTGGGGAATGAATAAGAAGTTACAAAGGTATATCTCTCACTATGGGAGAAGAAGGAGGCTAATTGATGTACACAAATGGCAACTTTATCACGTGGCAGAGCAGGACTCAACTCAAAATCTAAATAACAACCAATCATTCACAATATAATGAGAAATATCTCAATCTTTTCTCAACATATATATATCCATAAGATATAGATCATATATTTTTCAAACGGCTCAATCACAATTCTAAAAGTCCTACAACACAAATTTTCATAGCCCAAAAAGTATGACATGTCTCCTTGAGTTTCAAATAGCACATCATTATTCCAAAATAGCAAAACACTCACAAGCAACATATTAGCACATATAACAAGTGAAAAGTGGTTACATCTTGCCAAAGCAATAGAAAGGATTACTATAAGGTCAATCCCTTATTCAACCAATAATTAATCTATACAATTAATATAACCATATATTAATATAAGCTAATTAATTAATTAATTAAGCTTATATATTATTAAAATTTTAATTGAATTTAATTTTTATTCTAAATTTTCACAACTCTTAATTATAACCCAAAATTAAGTATTTTAGAACTAACTTATAATTTTCTAGCAAGCCAAAATTATTCATTCACATCCTCCGAATTATTTACTTTAATAAAAAGAATTTTTCAAAATTTTCAAATATGAAATTATTATATTTTAGATTCTAAAAATCCTATTTGAAGTTTAAAACTCAAAACCAAACCATAAAAAAAAAATTCAATAGTACCTCAAATATTTATAAATAAATAATCTAATCAAAATTTTAATGGCATAACTATCATATTTTTTTCCATAAATAATGAACATTTTAGCTGAAAAAATTATTTTAAAACCTCCAATCACCCAATAAATAAAACTAAACTGATTAAAATCTCAGTAATATATCAAACAACCCAAATAAATTATTTAACTTAATTTTGATCAGTAAAAAATATGATATATATATATATATCATATATAACATATTTTTCAATTAAACAAATTAATGTAAATACTAAACATCAACAAATAGGTAAATCTAAACTGATTAAAATTAACTACTCATTTACCTATAAATTTCTATGGTTAGCTATTATCAAAACTCAATACTTACTCCACACCTAAATCTCAAAATTTTCTCTAATGACTATAGTAATACTGTCATTAGAAAGCTTAAAATATATAGGAAATATTCATGAAAAAATTTTAATGAAAAGAAGTAATTTTATATACCTAAATTATTCCCAAAACTTGTCTTGTCTCTCACAATGATCACCGATCTGCTCCTTTCTCTCTCCTGCCCTCTTTCTCTCTTTCTTTCTTGTGCCTAACGGAAAGGAAGAAGTGTGTGGCATATATTATCCCTCAAACATTTATTAGGGGAAGCTCCCCCTAATAAATTTATGCCAGACTTTCCACAGATAGAAAGTCGTCTTTATATATATATATATATATAATATTATTATTATTTTATAATAATCTAATATTATTTATTTTATTTATTTTTTAATTAATTTTTTTGGACGTAAATCCTAAGACAAAATTTAGGATATTACAGGGGAATCAAAGGTTGGCTGAAAAACAATGATCACGTCTCAATCTGTGATTTCCATCACAACTTAAAAGAGAAAAATGCAAGAGCTGTGGTTTAAAAATAAACAAGTCAAGAAGTCAACTGCAAATAAAATGATAAGTTAGAAATAATGATTTCCATTTTGATCCTTCACAAAAATTTTAATTTCTAAAATTTTGATGATGCCGAATGGGCTATAAAAAACGAAATCCGCTTTGCACAAAAACGCATTCTAAACAATGGCTCAGCATGAACCTTGTATCTTCCTTGCATTTAATCTTATCTTCTCGCTTTTTTGGTCACCATGCAAGTTCAGTGCAGGACTTTCTGAAGCTGAAGCTCTAATCAAATGGAAGCACAGTCTCCCACAGCAACCAATATTGGATTCATGGTTCCTTCCACTTTTCAACAACGTTCAAAGCCCATGTTCATGGCGTGGAATAGCTTGTGATAATTCTACAGGAAGTGTCATCGGAATAAACTTGGCACACACAGGCCTTGAAGGTACCCTTCAAAACTTGAACTTTTCTGCATTTCCGAATCTTCTTCGTCTTGATCTCAACTCAAACAACCTCACTGGTAGCATACCAGAAGACATTGGGGTCCTCACTAAACTACAAATCCTTGATCTTAATACTAATCTCCTCAATGGCACTTTACCTCTTTCTCTTGCCAATTTGACTCAAGTTTATGAACTTGATTTTTCCCGAAACCACATAACTGGAATATTAGACCCACGTCTTTTTCCAGATGGTTCTGATCAACCTAAGATTGGATTGATTGGGATTAGAAATCTTCTCTTTCAAGACACCAAGCTTGGTGGCAGAATTCCTAACGAAATAGGGAATATAAGAAATTTAGCTGTGTTGGCTCTAGATGGGAATAACTTCTTTGGGCCTATTCCTTCATTCCTCGGAAACTGTACACATTTAAGTGTTCTTAGGATGTCTGAAAACCAACTCTCAGGCATGATCCCCCCAAGTTTTGGTAGATTGACTAATCTATCTGATGTGCGCTTCCACATAAATAAATTATATGGCCCTGTTCCCCAAGAATTCGGAAATCTCTCTTCTTTAACGGTCTTGCATCTTGCTCAAAACAACTTCTCTGGAGAGTTGCCACCACAAGTTTGCAAAGGTGGAAAGCTTGTCAATTTCAGTGCTGCCTACAATAGTTTCACTGGTCCAATCCCCATGAGCCTAAAAAATTGCCCATCCTTATTTAGAGTTCGACTTGAACATAACCAACTGACAGGTTACGCAGATCAAGATTTTGGAGTGTATCCCAATCTTAATTACATTGACATCAGCTACAATAAGGTACAAGGGAAACTTCCTGCACAATGGAGTGCTTGCAAGAGGCTACAATCTCTTGTAATGGCTGGAAACTCAATCAATGGCACTATACCAGATGAGATTTTTCAATTGGACCAATTAGAGAGACTTGATCTATCTTCCAACCAAATATCTGGAGAGATTCCTCCCCAGATAGAGAATTTCCGTAGGATGTCTGTTTTATCTTTGAGCAGCAATAAACTGTCAGGTTTCCTACCAACTGGCATTGGGAAGCTGTCAAATTTGCAAACTTTAGACTTGTCATCAAACATGCTTAGAGGACAAGTCCCATCCCAGATAGGTGATTGCACAGACTTGTTGCGTTTAAACTTGAGCAATAATGACTTCATTGGCAAAGTCCCATACCAAATTGGAAATCTTGAATTCTTACAAGATTTTTTGGACTTGAGTTTTAACTCACTTTCTAGTGAAATCCCTGTGGATCTTAGTACACTCAAAAACTTGATAAGTTTGAATATGTCTCACAATAATTTGTCAGGTCCTATCCATAGTTCCCTAACGACAATGCAAAGCTTGTCAATCCTCAACCTCTCCTACAATAATTTGGAGGGGCCAATACAAGATGGTGGGATTTTTAGTTCTTCCAATCTAGTGGATTTGAGTCACAACAAAAACTTATGCGGGAGGATCCAAGGTTTGCAACCATGCAATGTGAAGGTTATAAAACCAGTTAGAGGAAGTAACAAAAGGAAAGCTGTGATAATTGTTACTACCTCTATAGCAACTGCACTGATTGTTTTGTTTGTGCTACTTTTGATTTATGTCATTCTAAGAAACTCTAGAGCTTTAGAACAGAAAGCTAAAGTCGATAGGGAAAATCCATTCTCAATATGGCACTTTGATGGCAAAATCATGTATGATGACATAATTGAAGCGACTGAGAACTTTCATGAGAAATACTGCATAGGTGCAGGGGCATTTGGAAAAGTCTACAAGTTGACATTGCCAGGGGAGGATAAAGTATTTGCTATAAAAAAGTTTGTATGTGAGGAAAATAGCTTAGACATTAAGAATATAAAAGCTTTTGAGAATGAGATCAAAGCCATGATCAAAACTCGCCACCGAAACATTGTGAAGTTGTATGGATTCTGCTCACAAAGGTTGCACACATTTCTAATTTATGAGTACATCAAAAGAGGGAGCTTATTTGATATGCTTAGAAACGATAAAGAAGCATTAGAGTTGGGTTGGTCACAGAGGGCTCATATTATCAAGGGGTTAGCAGAGGCCTTATCATATATGCATCATGATTGTAATCCAGCCATTGTTCACAGAGACATATCAAGCAAGAATGTTTTATTATCTTCAAATTTCGAAGTCCATCTCTCAGACTTTAGCACAGCAAGGTTCTTGAAAATCTATTCATCAATTTGGACCACTTTTGCTGGCACATACGGTTATGCTGCTCCAGGTGAGTAAATATGATTAAAACAAATATAAATATGCTTCTTAAATAATTTATTCTGCAAATCATTATTTACTCCCTATTGCGTACTTTGTGCAGAGCTTGCATACACAATGGCAGTGACTGAGAAAGTTGATGTGTATAGCTTTGGTGTTTTGGCCATTGAGTTGCTAATGGGAGAGCATCCTGGTGATTTTATATCATGTATTCAGATGTGTGGGAATGGCCATATCATCTTGGAAGATATTTTGGACCCTCGTTTATCATCAATGAAGCACCAAAACTCTAACAAATTGGCTTTGATTTGGCAAATAGCTCTTTCCTGCATACAAACCAACCCTCAATCTCGACCGACCATGAGAACCATTGCCAACATGATTGAAACAGAGACTTTTCATTAGACCTGATTCTTGTATGCTTACTTGGCTTGTGTATATATGTTTTATGCATGTTTGTCTTTACACATTTTCTTTTACGAACTTTTACACAATTTTTTATAGTGCACTAATTCATTTTATTTTGATGGACAGGGACCAAGCGCTCAAGATAGCATGAATTTTTGAATTTCGAGCCAGTCGTCTTTGTTGTTATAGTGTGGAAGATATTATAAATTGTGAAATTTTTGTTTGGTGCTTTGTTGTGTAATGCACATTTTTGCTACTTATGCTTTCGTTTATCTTTATTGTAAGATATATTTTTTATATGCACAATTTTTTTTAACTACATCCCTAGTCCATTCGATTTTTTATTTCCAGGGACCATTTATTATTTTCATATAAATAAATATTTCGTTTTGAATTTATCATCAAATTGAATGTTCTGATTGAAGATATTAAAAATTATGAATTTAGTTTGGTCGCATTGTTGTGTAATGTGTATGTGGAAATATTGGTACTTTTTTTGTTAACCCTGTTATCTTTAATGAATTAATGAATGTATATATCAACAAATCGCACTTGTTTGGAATATTGCTAATGTATTCCACCTTAAAAGAAACAAAGAAATTGACAAGGAAAAATATCCCATATAAAGTCAATTGAACTAATAAAATCCAAAACCAGGTTGGCAAATTCAATAATTTTCTGATTAGAAAAAGTAGCACCAATACCCTAGTCTTATTTTTCATGTGTATCTGGTATTCTAATCTTATTTATAATATATCCAATGTCTTTATGTTATTTTCTTTGCATTTTTAACATCATAATCTTATTTATAATGTGTTGAACACCCTAAATCATAAAATAATATCAAAGTATTGGATGTAACTAAAAAACTAATATTGAGGTTGTGGATATAAATAAAATTATGATATTAGATGTATCTAGAAAATAGGGTGTTGCATGCTACTTTATCCTTTCTAATTAAGTCATAGACCTAATTTAGGATTTCAAAATACGGGTGGAATGACTTTACTTTACCCTGCTTTTCTCTTTCTATATCACGTTTTCTCTCTCTTACAACAACCTTAGCTCCATTTGTGCCCATGAGATTACATCTTCTACTGCTTGATTTCTCTTCACCTCAATTTCAAAACACTTTCTGACGTAGGACAAGGAGGTGAAAGAGAGAGGAGGGAAAGAGAAGAGAGGGAGAGTTTAGAGGGAAGGGGAGACAAGATGAGAGAAGGTCATGAAATATCAATTTCTATTCAAGCACTAAAGCTGATTACAACTAAAAATCCTAGCCCTTTTTATAAGACTTTTAGAAATATAATATGTTCATAAAATCCTATATCATATCTCACCCATTATCAAAGACAAAAAAGATAATTGCAAAATATTAAAAGACAATTAATGTAATAAATCCTAATTTTAATGGATAAATATCCTTATTAAGATCCCTAACATATACCATAATTAATATAATTAAATCCTAATTGTTTCTTATCTCATACTCCATCATTTCTTCCCCACTTAAAGAACTTAGCTTGTGACAAGTTAAAATTGATACACAAATCCTGAGAGAAAAGTGCATAACATGCCTATGTCGGGAAATTACTTTAAACATATAAGATACCAAAAGAGAACATCTTTGGCCAAAATGACCATTCAAATCTTGGAAAGTATCAGAAAGTATCTCAAAACCCTTTCCAACGGACAACATATTGGTAGAATGACTAGTTCAGCAATGAAGTGGACGGTATAGCAAACTGAACAGATGAATGAACTTGAACCTTACTAATTTCAAGTAGGGACAAAGTTACCTTCATTGATGTTGAATGATTAACATGATCACCAAGTTGAACCTCTTCACTACCGAGGTCACCATGATTATTAGTATCATTAATATTAACTATAGGAGTCTTCATTGGAGCCTATATACAGAAGCGCAGGTGTTCCTGTTGCCATCTTAATGCCATGTCTAAGTTCAATAACAATTAGGGGTAATGCCGCAATTGTTGTTACAACGTCATTTTCTAAATTTGAAGAATGATCTTCAACCCCTCTAGACTTTTTTTTTAAAAGAAAAATGACGACAAAATACCATATGAAAATAAAAAAGACAAAACAAGCATCCAAATAAGCAAAATGACCAAATGGGTATAAGGTACCAATTTGGAATTTTCACTTTTGATGTAAAGACTAAAATGCCCTAATTGTTTTTAAAAACTAAGGAGTGTATTCATGCGATGGAGAAAGAGAGAAACTGACTTCGTCCACTCAGTGAAACTAAATCCAAATTCCTCCAATCACCAAAAAGGTTTTTCCGAAATCACATTGCTGTCATCATAGTAGTAGATTGCCGTCGCTGAAGTTGGTTACCATTGTTGAAGTATATTGCCCTGTCAGAAGTAAATTGTACTCCCTAAAATTGCTGTCGTCAAGGAGGTCGCTAAAATAACGCTGACTGTGATAAACATGTTGGAAGCTTAAATATTGTTCTTTATAGAGCATTTTTGATGGGTTCTTAAAGCTTAAACTGTTATTGTCTAGCATTCCTCTTTCTAGTTCCATCTCCATTCTTTGCATATAAGCTGCTGTAGGTTGAAAAAAGTTGTTTCTATCTTTCTGCTATTGTGTTCGGTTGTGTACACATTTTGAAATGATTCCGTTTGATAGTGTTTAATCCATATTGGGTGGCCTTTAATTAGAAGAGAAGATGGCTTTTGTTGTGCTAATTGTTATATTTTGATTTAAAGGAAAAGAACAAACTAGAAAGGATGGTTTTGTCGGTGTTATTTGAATTAGCTAAAAAGAGTATAGCTTTCTATGTGGACACGGTGAGATTTTAAGGAAGTTGAACTTAGCTAAATTTTTTTTTGCTTGCATGGCAATCATAGAGTTACTTTCATTTTCATAGAATAGTTTTAGGTTGAAAAGTTTGTCCTTGTGTGGCTTAATTTTGTAAAGGTTATCTTATTCTAGTAATTTGAAAATTAGTAATAAATCTTATTAGCTGAGTAGTAAATTTGATGAGGTAAGTAGTAAATAGTATTGGTTGGTTTTGTATTGAAATAACCATTATTGGTCTGAGAACGACTATATTTGCGTTCGTAATAACAATTTTTCTATAAAACAAAAAAAAGTTGACATGTTATTACAATTGTATAAATTTGTTAATGAAACTGGCTAGATTTGTTATGTGAATAACAACATTATTGTGATGCAAATTCAATTGATTGGATAATGGGATTTAAGTGATATGTTAATGAAATTTACTATATTTGTTAGTGGAATTAACTACATTTGTTAGTGGAACTGACGATATTATTGTGAAAAAAATATAATATAATGAATAAGCATGAAGTGGTGTCATTTCAGCAAGGAAAATGGTATTAGAAGTAGAAGGAGAAGAAGAGGCAAGTGGAGAAGTAAAGAATGGGTACATATTGTTTCTCCATGAATTTAAGTCGAGAAAAGATGTTAAGAATATGAGACAAGAAGTTAGGAAGGTAGTAAAGGCATGGAGAGAGCTGCCGCCAGAGGAGCAAAAGAAATATAATTATAAAGTTAAGTAATCAAAGAGCAAGGGATGAACAAGAAGCGAATGAAAAAAGATGCTTTTAGCACCCGTTGCTCAGTTCAGCAATACAAGTCATTGGTGGAATTTATACATAATGATGAAAGATTGAAAGCCAAGGTACAAAGTTTAGGATCCTCAAGTTTGCTTGACATGGGATGTGAGAGACTCCCTCGTGACCTCATAGTACATATATTTTTATCATATAATCTGTCTACCCATCAATTTACAATAAGGGGCAAAATCAAGGAAATAGAAGCAACAGATGTTGCAAAGTCGTTGGGTGTACACCACACAAGGAAAAAGGAAAGAATGGATGTGGATGATGATGATGGAACACATAAGAAGTTGAAGAATGAATATGGTAAAGTTTCTTTTACCAAGATACTCAAAGACATTAAATCTGGGAATAATAAAGACAACTTTGAGTTCTTGTTTATGTTGAACACACTTGGGAGTTTTCTAACTCCTACTTCACAAATAATAGTGAGTGACAAGCTAGACAATTAGGTCACATGCATTATGAACAACTTGTGAAAAGAGATGGAAGATTTTGTCAAAGTGTATAGAAAGGTAAAGGAAGACAATGATGAAGGAAGTTGCCACATCGCAGGATGCATCTACCTCTTATTAGTATGTGTTTATTGCCTTCGTTTTTATTGTTTTTTTTGAATGAAGTGATAATAAAGTTAATCACTTGGTGTTGTAGTTATATTTTGTCCCATTGTCTAAATCTATTAGACATGGTCAATGAATGCTATTCAATTATGGACTGATAAGAGGATAAAGGAGATGGCAATGAAAGAAAGGTAGAGCTACAAAGGCCTCTTGTATGAGGGGAAGGCCTCTAAAGTTAGGGTTGAGAATAATGAGAGAACAAGTAGAAATGTGGTTGACTTACACCCGGTATGTGCTTTCCTTGGTAATTTCTATGTGCATTAACAAGAAAAATTGTTTGACCTTGTTTAATAATGTGATGTAAGAGTTGTAGAACTTACATTAAAAGTTGATAGCTATAACTGATTTAAGCTACAAGAGGCTTATTGGTGCAGTAGATGTAACAATCTTGCAATTTATTATACTAAATTATTGGCTAATAGTTTCTTTTTATTGCTGTTGTAGCTGCAACCAAGTAAATCATGTGGTTTAATGGCTCTGGAAGTGGCTGAAGGCATTGGAGGTTCTGGGTTCGAACTAGGGCCATGTCTTTGGAGTAATTTAATTTTTGTTTCAGCACTATTGAATTACTTAAATACCCTTAGAGTAAAAATAAAATAAATAAACAAAAAAAGTATCAGATTTTTTTTTCTTTCTCTCCCGATGCTCTTTATTTTAGCGAGAGAATGGAGGAGTAGAACAAGTTTTTCAAAGCTGAATCCCTAACCCTTCTTTTTCTTCTTCAACGGTCGCATCTCCCTCTGTCCTCCACCGTTCACTTTGC